ATGCCTATTTTGCTGAGGATTTTTATCATGAAGGCATGCTGGATTATATCAAACACTTTTTCTGCATCTATTGAAATTATCATATGCCTTTTGTTTTTCATTCTTTTTCTGTAGTGGATCATGTTATTGACTTGCATATGTTGTACCATCCTTGTATCCCTGGGATAAAACCCACTTGGTTGTGGTGTGTTATTTTTGTAATGTTCTGTTGAATTAGGTCTGCTAATATTTTGTTGAAGATTTTTGCATCTATGTTCATAATGGATATTGGTCTGTAGTTTTCTATTTTGTTGTTGTTGTTGTGTCTTTTCCTGGCTTTATAATATGAGTTAGGGAGGATTCCCTTCTTTTCAATCTTGTAGAATAGCTTTAGTAAAATTGGTACCAGTTTTTCTTGGAAGGAGTAGTAGAATTCAGCTGTGAGTCCATTGGGTCTAGGACTTTTTATTGTTGGGAGACTTAATTACTGTTTCAATCTTTCAACTTATCACTGGTTTGTTCAGGAATTCTATTTCTTCTTGATTCAAAGTTGGAGGGTTGTATGTTTCCAAGAATTAATCTATTTCCTCTATATTGTCTAGTTTGTTTGCATAGAGGTGTTCATAATAGTCTCAGATAATCTTTTGAATTTCCCTTGTATCAGTTGTAGTATTTCTTTTTTCATTTTTTGTTTAAGCTAATTTGAATCTTCTTTCTTCATTTCTTAATTAATCTGGCTGGTGGTGTATCAATTTTGTTTATCTTTTTAAAGAACCAACTTTTAAAAATTGAATTCCATGTATTTTTAAAAACATTTTAATTTCAGTTCTGTTTTGATCTTTGTTACTCCTCTTCTTCTGCTAACTTTGAGTTTGTTTTGTTTGTGTTTTTCTAGTTCCTTGAGATGTGATGTAAAGTAGTTGACATGAGATCTTTTAGTCTTAATAATGTAGGACTTAAACACTATTAATTTTCCTCTGAGCACAGCTTTGCCTGTGTCCCAGAGGTTTTGATAACTTGTTTTGTTGTCATTCATTTCAAATAATTTTTGAATTTCTATCTTGATTTCATTGTTGACCCAAGGGTCATTCAGGAGCAAATTGTTTAACTTTAATATCTTTGGTTTTGTGAGTTCTTCTTGGAGTTAAATTCCAGTTTTATTCCACTGTGGTCTGAGGTGGTGTTTGATATGATTTTGATTTTTTAAAAGTTTATTGAGACTTGATTTGTGGCCTATCATATAATCTATCTTAAAGAATCTTCCATATGCTGATGAGAAAAATGTATATTCTGTACTTTTGGGATGGAATGTTCTGTACGTGTCTGTTAGTTCCATTTCCTGTAGAATTTTGTTTAACTCCAATGTTCTTTTTGTAGACTTTCTACCTTGATGATTTGTCTATTGCTGTCAGTGGGGTATTGAATTCTCCCATTATTATTGTATTGCTTTCTATTTCTTTTTTAGGTCTAGCAGAATTTGTATTATAAAGCTGGAGGCTCTGAAATTAAGCACATATATAAAATTGTTATGTCTTTTCATTGGATTGTTCTCTTTAATATTGTATAGTAGCCATCTTTATTTTTTTTTACTGTTGTAAATTTGAAGTCTGTTTTATCTGATATGAGAATGGCTACTCCTGCTTGTTTTTGGTTTCCATTTGCATGGAATATTTTTCCTCACCTTGAGTCTATAGGAGTCTTTGTTAGTTAAATGATCTTGAAGGCAGCAGATATTTGTGTGTGTGTGTGTGTGTGTGTGTGTGTGTGTGTGTGTGTGTGTGTGTATTTGCATTTTTATCCATTCTGCCAGTCTATATATGTCTATATCTTTTTAGTGGGGGCATCAAGAACATTTATGTCAAAAGTTAATAATGACACGTAAGGTACGATTCTACTAATCATACTGGTTGTTATCTAATTGCCTTGTTTATTTGTTTTCTGTGCTGTATTGGTGTTCCATACAATTTGTGAACTTTATAATTTCCAGTATTTCTTCTACTGGCATATTTAAAACTTTTGTTTCAGTATTTAGGACTCCTTTGAATATTTCTTGTAAAGCAGTCTAGTGGTGGCCCATTTCTTCAAAATGTGCTTGTCTGCAAAGTACTTCATTTCTGAAACTTAGTTTTGTCGGACACAAATCCTTTGCTGACAGTTATTCTGTTTGAAAAGATTGAAAATGGGGCCCCAATCCCTTCTGGCTTGTAGGATTTCTACTGAGAAACCTGCTGTTAGTTTGATAGGTTTACATTTGTAAGTTTTTTGATGTTTTTCTCATGCACTTAAAATTCCTTCTTTCACATTAACTTTGCATGCTAGATGTTTATATTCCTTAGGGATGACCTTTCTGCAATGAATCTTCTGTGGGTTCTTTGGACTTCTTGTATCTGGATGTTTAGGTCTATGGCAAAGCCAGGACAATTTTTCTCCATTATTTCCTCAAATAAGTTGTCCAAATCTGTTGCATTCTCTTTTTTCTCAGGAATATTTATGATTCTTAGTTTTGGGTGTTTTACATAATCCTGCATTTCTTGGAGACTTTGTTCTATTCTTTTGATTCTTTTTTCTTTATTATTGTCTGATTTGGATTAATTTAAACACTTGTTTTAAAATTCTGAGATTCTTTATTCTGCTTTTTCTAGTCTATTGTTAAAACTTTCCAGTGGTTTTCGTACTTAACTAAATGCTTCTTTTATTTCCAGAATTTCAGCTTGTTATTATTATTATTATTATTATTTGAGTTGTAGTCTTGCTCTGTTGCCCAGACTGGAGTGCAGTGGCTCACTCATGGCTACCCCAGCATTTATCTGCTGGACTTCGGCAGTCCTTCCTCCTCAGTCTTCCAAGTAGCTGGAACTACTGGCGCACGGTACCATGCCCAGCTAATTTTTGATTTATTGTAGAGATGAGGTCTTGCCAAGTTGCCCAGGCTGGTCTCAGACCCATGGGCTAGAGCAATTCATCTGCATTGGTCTCCCAAAGTGCTGGGATTACAGGCTGAGCCATTGAGCCTGGCCTGTTATTTTTTTTAAGGTATCTATATTTTTGGAGAATTTTTCATCCATATCCTGAATAGTTTTTTTTTAAAGCTTCTTTATGTTGGTTTTCAGTTTTCTCCTGAAGTTCATTGATCAACTTTATTATTAACCTTTTGTATTGTATGTTTGGAATTTCAACAATTTCATTTTGGTTAGGGTTTGCTGCTGAAGAGTTTGTGTAGTCTTTTGGGGGTGTTGGACAGCTCTGTTTTTTCATATTGTCAGAATTATTTTTCTGGTTTATTCTTATTTGGTAGATGATTACTTCTTATTTGAGATTGGCAGTGGACTGATATTAGTACTGTAGGGTTCCCTTGGTTATATATAGCCTTAGTGTGGCGAGTTTCTCAATTGCCAGATGTGGCCATCCTGAGCTGTGTACCTGCATTGGCTCACATCATCTTGAGTGACTTGGAGAGTGTTAGCTTGCATTTGGGCTCAGGTCTTCCCCAAAGCTGACATACTATATCCAACGTGGTTGACCTCTGGCCAGGAGGTGGTGGCTTGTGAGAGAAAGCCAGCTAAAATGGTGACTGTAGGGTTTTTCCTTGATGAGTGTTGCTCCAAGAAAGTGCCTCACCAGTGTAAGCCGAGTGTGGGACTCTGGAGAGTTCCCAAGTTTTCTGTCTGTTTTGAGCCTTCTGGGGTAGTGCAGAGGAAAGAAGATGAAGCACTCTACAAGTGTGCACTTTTATCTGCCCCAGTGGAGATTAGAAGAGAGTCCCAGGCTGCGGTTGGGCAGAGCTGGCACAGAAGAGTTCACAAGGGACTGAGAGGTTGCCATGGCAAGGTGTCCCACCAGGCTCCCACCTTGGTTTCGGACAAGCAGTGACATGAGTGTCAAGATACAGCCAGCCTCAGGGCCTTGGGTGTTCCTAGGCAACCCTCCCAGTCAGGAGCTGTCTGCAGCCATGGAGTTTGCTGCTGGGGTCCATTCTTTCCCATGCTGGCTGAAAAACAGCTGCTTCACTCTGTAAGGGTTGAGTTCCAGGGAGATGGCAGCTGGTGCTACTCAAGGCTTTTTTTCCTGCACCACTCTGTGGCAGGGTACAACTGTGGGAAAGGCGGTTTCCTGTAAGGGGCTGGGATCGCACAAAGCTCAGGGAGCCCTTCAAGTTGACAGCAGGAGCACAGAACTCCCAAATGCCATCACTTACCTTCTCCACTGTGTCTGGAGGCTGCGACGGACTTTGGCTATGCAGGCAAGAGTCTGGCTAGTTCTAGCTCAGGCTGGTGGCTTTTTTTCTTCTTTCCTCTGTGTGGCTATCATCACTCCTTTGGAGACTTGTGGGGTGTGCTTCTGGTTCCATTCCTCCCGGGGGTGCTGAGGAAACTCTATCTGGGTTTACTGTGTAGGAGACATTCACTCTAGCCACCTCGTGTTGGCCACTTTAATGTGGTCCCCTCAGTTTGCTCGTATTTTATTGAGGATTTTTGTGTCTATGTTCATCAGGGATATTGTCTGTTTCCTTTTCTTGCTATGTCTTTAGTACTGGCCTCATCGTCATTTCATTATTATTATTATTATTATTATTATTTGTTTTGGTTCATACCCTGTCAATAGTTATGCTAAGGGCAGAAACTTGGTGCTGTGTATGAAAAGATACTTAGACTGTCTTCCTTCTCTTTGGAAGCTCTCAGTTTAGCTGTGTTGAGTGGGAGGCAGAGATGCTATAATTAGTCAATGACAAAATGGTATTTAAAATGTTATAACAGCAGAACCTCCATCGATTTTGGTCATGTTATAACTACGAGTACATATTATGGACTGTTCTAAATGCTCTTGATAAATTCTGACATTTAATACCGAGTATCGTTGTCCTTGTTTTATGATGAGGAACTTCTGAGACAGTACAGGCTTGTGCAGGGCCACATGGCTAAGTGGTGGCCAGGGAGACCCACTCCCGCTGTGCTTCTCTGACTGAAGCCTGTCCTCCTAACCACTGTGTCAAACTACCTCCCGCTGCAAATGTCTCTGAGAGGATGAGGGATCTGAGTATGGCTGTCAGGGAATGCTCCCCTGAGAAAACGAAGGATGAATTTAGAAGCTTCTGTCAGCATTCCAGCAAGGCAGCTAGTCCTGACATCAACTTCAAGAAGCACCCAAGGGGATGGGAGGGCGGTTGTCACTGGCTCTGCTTTCTTCCGATATCCCATGAGGGCGCTCTAAGGGTGAAATGGTGCCCTTGGCTTCACCATGGGTATGAGAAGGAGAGATGAAAAAGAAGAGCGTTCCAGGAAAAGAACTCCATGCACATATGTATAGAATTGAAAAACAGTGATTTCAAGCTGTGATGCGGAAGTTTCACCCATTGTACCCCAGTGGGGTACAGTGAGAGGGGCTGGAGAGACTGGGGTGTCTTTAGTACTGGCCTCAGAGTCATCCCATTATTATTATTACTAATTACTATTATTAGCTGTGTGAGAGCTATGCAAACAGGCTTAGCTTCATCCATATTGGGACCACAAGGCACCTGGGAGTGCATCTAACTTCTGCCAGGTCCCAGGTCACCAAATCAATGATTAAGAGTCAGGTTGGAAGGACGTGTCTGACTCCCTCAGAACAAAGCAGCAGCCGAGGAGCAGGAAGCAGGAAGGACAATCAAGCTGAACATAACGCAAGATAAAAATATAACCAAGTCTGAGCTCAGTGATTCTGCCATATTGTTTTTGTCTTTAGACTGAGTTTACTGGCTCTCCTGAAAATGGACTGGTATTGTCTAGTGGGACCCCACAGTGCTGGTCTGTCTTCCCAGACACAGGGGCATTGAGAGAAGCCATATTTAACATGGAGAGAGGGCACAGAAATGGGAAATTGTGACATGGTATAATAATGACCCTAATACCATAGTTATGTGACGTAATTCATGTGAAATGCTAAATCTTATTATTTTGAAACCTACTTTCACCAGAATGAAGCTAGCAATGTCTGAACATTAAAGAGGCTGTGCTTTCGTTTTGTGTGAAAATTCATTTACAACTTCTTATTCCCAAGTGAAAGACATTATATGACATGGTGTGTTATGACCTCAGAGAGAAGCTTCATGGCTGGTGCTACTTTCACATAAAAGTGAGTGTGACTCAGTGACACAATTCAGTCATAGCCTAGTCCTTCTTCCACTGTGACATTCAGGACAGATTCCACCCCCTTATCTCCCTTGAAATCATCTCTCTGACCTGGAAAAGAGAACTACCTTTTATTGATATCTGCTGGAAGGACTAGGCAAGAAAGGAACAAAGAAATCTGTAATGAACTTTTCTGTTAGTTTTTTTCAGTTTACTGAGTTTCCATGTACAGGAATACCACAGCTCAAAATTATAACGTTCACCTTACATTCAGTGCTTTTAATTACCTGAAGAATGCAACTGCACACTCCTGAAAACATTGACTTATCTGGGACCAGTTAGCACCTTCCATTAACTCTGTCACTGTCTGTTCATCCGTGGAAATAAAGGATGTTTATTAGTTCTAATCGTATAATTCCTGAAAGAGGAGTGATTTAGCATGGCACACTCTTGAGAAAAGTGGGGACTTGGTTGAGGATAAAGAGGCAGAAATTGTTCTTACATGGAAATCAGGAGATGTGTTTTTCACTGAAGCCTTGGCCCCGGGTGGCTGGCTGATGGTGGGTATGCGGGTCCATCCTTCAGGGCTTCAGTTTCCTCACATGCATATGGAGGTGGAGTTGTTGTGTCAGCAGATATGCTCGTGGGTCATTCCCTAGGCAATTTCTTTGCTTTGAGGGAAATGAACTGTTTTTTCAGCTCTAAAATTGGCTATTAACTCCTTGAAACAGTGTGTTGAGCTTCAGCTGGGATGAACATGGGAGCACCTTCCAGTTATCTCTTCTCCACATCCTTTTTGACTCTTTTCTCATAAAAGTCAGAGGTTGGGCCAACTCGTCTGTAAGACAGCTTCTTTTTAAAAAGTTCAGGTCTTGGCCTGGCGCGGTGGCTCAAGCCTGTAATCCCAGCACTTTGGGAGGCCGAGGCGAGCAGATTGCCTGAGACCAGGGGTTTGAGACCAGCCTGGGCAACTTGGTGAACCCTCGTCTCTACAGTAAATCAAAAAGGAAAAAAAATTAGCCGGGCATGGTGGCACGTGGTTGTAGTTCCAGCTACTTGGAAGACTGAGGCAGAAAGATCACCTGAGCCCAGCAGTTCGAGGCTGGTGGTGGCCGTGAGTGTGACACTGCACTCCAGCCAGGGAGATAGAGTGAGACTCCAACTAAAAAAAAAAAAAAAAAAAAAGTTCAAGTCTTTCAAGTCTATAAAAGTAATACTGGTTCTCTATAAAAACTTGTGACATAGAGGAAAAGTACACTCATTATTCTTTATGTTTATATGTATGTATTTCCCTTCCTACCTTCCAATTTTAACTTTCTATGAGCACCTGACAGGGCTTTAAGACTCATAAAGCACAATTGCCCCTTGGTATTGTGGAGAATTGGTTCCAAGACTTCCCTCATACCAAAATGCACAGATGCTCAAGTCCCTGACATAAGATGCTATAATACTTGCATATAACCTATGCACATCCTCTTATATACTTTAAATCATCTCGAGAGTACTTATACTACTTAATACGATGTAAATGTTATATAAATAGTTGAAAATTTGTACTTTTTATTGTTGTTTTGCTAATTTCTTTTTGAGTTGTAGTCTCACTCTGTCGCCCAGGCTGGAGTGCAGGGGCATACTCCTGGCCACCCCAACCTCGACCTGCTAGACTCCGGTGATTCTTCCACTTCAGCCTTCCAAGTAGCTGAACTACAGGCACTTGCCACCAAACCCAGCTATTTATTTACTTATTTATTGTAGAGATGAGCTCTCGCCAAGTTGCCCAGGCTGGTCTCGAACCCACAGGCTCAGTCAATCCACTCGCCTCGGTCTCCCAAAGTGCTGTGGTTACAGGTTGAGCCACCGAGCCCGGACCTGTATTGCTATTTTTTATAACATTTTTTATGTTTCAAATATTTTTGATTCACAGTTGGTTGAAGCTTGTGGATGTGGAACTAGCAAATCAGGATGGCCTACTGCAATTGATTTTTAGATCCCAGGGATTTTGTGAACAAGCACTTCAGCAGAGTAAGACTCCATTTTCTTAATCTAATCCATGAGCTTGAGAGGGAATGAAGTCTATTTCTAGATCATAGTATGGGCCTGGGGTGGGAATTTTATTGAGAAGCAAAAAGAAGATGCTAGATTGAAGAACTGTTATAAAGTTGTGTATCTTCTTTGGCGCCTTTATGGTATTCTTTTTTATGAATAAACACGGTAGCCATTGTTGGAGATAAGTAGCTAAGCAGAGAGAGAGAGAGAGAGAGAGAGAGAGAGACAGAGAGAGAAAGAGAGAGAGATTTTGAGGAATTGGCTCATACAAGTGTGGGGCTAGCAAGTCCAGTTGGCTGGAGACATGGGGAACAGTTGGGGCTGCAACTTGAGGGCACGTTGGTCTTTTCTCTTAAGGCCTTCAGCTGATCGAGTGAGGCCCACTCAGATGATGGAAGGTGAGCTGCTTGACTCTGGGACTGCTGACTTAAATGTTCATCACATTAAAAAAAAAATACCGGCTGGACTCAGTGGCTCAGCCTGTCATCCCAGCACTTTGGGAGGCCAAGGCGAGTGGATTGCCTGAGTCTGCAGGTTCGAGACCAGCCTGGGGAACTTGGTGAGACCGCGTCTCTACAATAAATGAAAACATTATCTGGGCATGGAGGTGCACACCTGTAGTTCCAGCTACCTGGAAGACTGAGGCAGAAGGATTGCCAGAGCCCAGCAGGTCGACACCGGGGTGGCTGTGATCATGCCACTGCACTCCGGCCTGGATAATGGAGTGAGACTCCAACTCAAAAAAACCAAAATAAAACATTCAAACTTGTGTTTAGCCAAAGAACCAAGTTCTATGACCACCATGACCTAGTCAAATTGATGCATAAAATCGATGCATCACTGTAGGTTAGTTCTAGGCCAGAAAACATCAACAGAAGATGACCGGAAACTCTGGCTCTGAGGTATTTGTTAGGCAGGAAGCACATTGAAGTTTGGAAAAATACATGAGCTTTCTTCAACTGAGGACACTGTGGGGAATTAGGTAAGACAGGCAATGAGTGTGTCCTCCAAATGTTCCATCTCAGGTCTGGAAAATATATTCCCAATTCCTACAGTGAAAAACCTGTCACCCTACACAATGAAGAAGACTTTTGTTTGGGGGCACAAGGAGAGGTGTGGGAAATCTCTTTCGTTCTTGCTCTGACTCCAAACTGGACAGCGTGGCAGTGTCCTGACACAAGAGCTGACGGGGTGGTGCCACAGGACAGCTGTTGAGAGAGAAGCCAGTGGACAGCTCAAGGGTGGCTGGGTTAGGGGGACTGACTGAAGGCCTGAGTTGCAGGGAGAAGAGTTTGCCCTGCAAGCTGTTGCCTAGGGCAGGCTGGAGATGGATTACACAGGGTGTGACCTCCTCCCAACAAAACGATGGCTCACTTCTGGAGGCAGCTTGATCTCTTCCATCCTTCCTGGAAATTCAGAAAGATGAGGAAGATGCTTTCTTTCTGTGGTTGTGTGCTTTTGCTGTGATTGGACCAGAAAACATCCACAGAAGATGACCCGAAGCTCTGACTCTGAGGCATTTGGTAGGCAGGAAACACATTCAATGTTGAAAAAATATGTGAGCTTTCCTCAGCTGAGGACATGATTGGAAATTAGGCAAGAGAGGCACTCAGTGTGTCCTCTAAATGTTCCATCTCAGGCCAGGAGAACGTATTTCCAATTTCTCCACTGAAAAAGCTGTCAAACTGTGATTTAATCTCACTTGCCACAGGAACTCTTGAGGCTCAAGTATGGATCTGCTTGATCTTTTTCTCGGGAAGATAGGCTTTCTGCAAGAATGAATATTTCTCAGTTTTGAGAGAAACAAGTGGCACCCTCAAACAAAAATCAGCCTGTGAAGATGGCACTCTCTGTGATTTCTTCTCATTTGTTTTGCTCCCCAAGTACCAGATTCTTATTTCTAGCACACCTGAGGACCGTCTTCAACTCGGGACATTCATAGGAGGCCCGACACCACGGTGGGACTGAACAGCTGTGTGGCCTGCTTTTGCCTTCTGGAAGGGGCTCAAATCGATCTTTTGACTTTTATCTCTTCATGAAATTTTTATTCGGTCCCAGAAGCTACACTCCCAATCTTTCAAGAGAATCA